CTCGACGGCGGCGGCCACTTCGGCGGCGCCGGTGCAGCCGAGGGCCCTCGGGGCGCGGGGGGGGCCTCCCTGCCAGCTTTCCCTCCCGCCCTCCCTGATCCCCGCGACGCCCCACCCTCTTCCCCTTCCCCCCTCCCTCCTCCCTCCTCCCGCCCTCCCTCCCTCCCCCCCCCCCCCCCTCGCTCTCTCTCTCTCTCTCAAATTTCCCCTCCCCTCCCCCCCCTTCCCTCACCGCCTCCTCCCTGCCCCTTGCGTGCCGAAATCCCCTTACCTGCCTCCCCCCCCCCCCTCCCCTCCTTCTCTCTCTCTTTCATCTCTTTTTTTCTCTCTCTCTCTCTCTCTCTTTCTCTCTCTCTCTCTCTCTCTCTCTCTCGCAGCGCCATCGGGCGTGCCCTTCCGCGCTCGCGCGCCCGCGGCCGCCCAGCGGGGCGGGCGGGCGGCCTGGCGCGAGCGCGGGGCCCCCCCGGGCGCCACCGGGGGGACCTTTTCTGGAGGGTGGGGGGGAGGAAAAGGATGCCGTTAGGTCGGGCATGTCCTCCAACAGGCGGATTTGGAACGACAAATTAAAAATACGCAAAAAGTGCCCCAAGATAGTCAAACACAGTCAAACGAAACGTTACCTGTGACTACTTTTGAATATTGTTCCTGTAGAGGGGCAGGCACGACTTCAAGATACCGTATGCTGACAATGGTGATGAGGAAACGGAAGAGGGGGGAGATGGGAGAGGGGAGCGGCCGAGTTGCGCAAAAGATGCTGTCGCTGTTCGCGGCCTTGCCTCTTGCCCGCAACGACGTACTCGCGATACGACTTGCGGCGCTGAGCGGTATCAGGCAGCGGCGCGCCGTGCACCGTATCCGAACCGTGGCAACAGTCCTGTCGCCGTCTTGACTAGGTACTCCGGATAAGGATATGCAGTGCCAGTGCGGCCCAAGGCTGGCCAGTCTCACCTTGTTGCTGAGCTCTCCTGCGGATGAAGTTTCGGGCGGCGTGGTCCTCGTTCCCTCGCCGCGGTGGAACGTCCTGGGGCTCGATGGGAGCGTCGGGTTGCAGCACCGTGCATCTGTCCCGCGGATTAGTAGCGTCTGTTCGCGAGGATCCAATACGACGAAATCATAATAACATTTGCCCCACTTGCCCTGGACTGTGCCACTGGCAGCGATCGTTATCTCCCCTCGGAGATTTGCTCGCGGCCCTTGCAGCTCAGCTCGTCGCCCTGGTAGCTCTGCGGGAAGATCTCGTAGTTACGCATGCGGCCCGCGTAGCTAGCCCAGGCTGTGGCCCTCGTAGCTCCGGTGGCTCTGGTATGCGCTGGTCTTTCCAGTTCCGCACGTCGCCCTCGTAGCTCTGCGGGAGGCTCTAATTGTGTCTCATGTGGCCCGCGTTGCTCAGGCTGTGGCCCTCGTAACTCTGCAAGTCGCCGACGCGGCTGGGCTGGTGGCTCTCGAAGGTCTGCTCGTGGCCCTTGAACTTCAGGTCGTCGCCCTGGTAGCTCTGCGGGAGGCTCTCGTAGTTTTGCTCGGGGCCCGCGTAGCTCAGGCTGTGGCCCGCGCAGCTCGGCAGTTGGCCCTCGTAGCTGATCCGGTGTCTCTCGAAGCTCTGCTCGTAGCCTCTGCAGTTCAGCTCATCGTCCAGGTAGCTCTGCGGGAGGCCCCCTTGCTTCTGCTTGCGGCCCTCGAAGCTCAGGCTGTCGCCCCGGTAGCTTACCAGGTGGCCATCGTAAATGGGCTGGTGGCTCTCGAAGGTATATTTGTGGCCCTTGCAGTTCAGCTCGTCGTCCAGGTAGTTCTGCTGGTGGCTGTAGTAGCTGTGTATGCGGTCTTAGCATCTCAGCTGGTGGTCCTAGAAGGTCCGCAGTTGGCCATGGTATAGCGCTGCTGGTGGCTGTGGTGGGTCTGCTTTTTTCCCGCTGAGCTAAGGCTGGTGCCCCTGGTAGATCAGCTGGTAGTCCTCATAGCTCTGCTTGTGCCCCTCGCAGCTCAGCTGGTGTCCCTCGTGGTCCAGCCGGTGGTCCTCGGAGCCCTGCTTGTGGCCCTCGTCGCTGTGCTTGCAGCCCTCTTGGCTCAGCTGGTGGTCCTCGTGGCCCTGCTTGTGGCCTCCGTAGCTGAATTGCGGGCCTCGTAGCTCTGGCAGGGGCCCTCGCAGCTGCGCCTGTGGTCCTCGCAGGACAAGTTGTGGTCTTCGCAGGCGGTCCTGCGAGCTCCGCCGGTAGCTCTCGCAGCTGAGCCAGTGGCCCCCGAGGCTCTGCTCGCGGCCCTCAATGGCTCAGCTCGTGCTCCGCGCAGCTCCGCAGGTGGCCCTCGCGGCCGAGCCGGTGGCCCTCACAGCCCCGCTGGGGGCCCTCGCCGCTCAGCAGGTGGCCCCAGAAGCTCTGCTGGTGGCTCTCTCGGCTCTGCCTGTGGCCCTCGTAGCCGAGGTCGTGGCTCTCGTAGCTCAGGTGCAAGCTGCCGTCGTAGTGCAGCAAGCGGTTCTCCAAGCCCTGCGGGTGGCCCGCGTAGCTCCGCGGGTGGTCTGGGCAGCTCTGCTCGCGTCTCTCGTAGCTCTGCTGGTTGTCCTCGTAGGCTGGCGGTCGTTCTAGCTCTACGCGTTGTCCTTGCAGTCCTTCGCGTGGCTGTCGTAGCTCCGTGGGTGGTCCAAGCAGCTCTGCTGGTCGCCCGCGAGGCTTTGCGGGTGCCCCACGTAGCTGTGGCCTTGGCCCCCGATATTCTGCTGGTAACCCACATGGCTCTCTCTCTCTCTCTCTCTTTGGCCAGCACGGCTGTGCTGGTGGCCCTCGTAGCGCTGCTGGTGACTTTCGTGGCCGAATCCTGTGGTCCTCGTAGCTCTGGCTGTGGCCGTGGTCGTTCTGCTGGTGGCCCTCGTGGCTGCGCTGGTAGCCCTCGCCGGTCCTCGGCTGGCCCTCGCAGTTCTGCGCGTGGCCCCTCTGCGGGGGGTGGACACCCAGGCCTCCTTCTGCTCGCCCCCCGCGGTCCGCATCGGCGTCGTCGGCTGCCAGATCGTAATCTTCCGGGGGAGGATGAGGAGGAGGAGGAGGAGGAGGAGGAGGAGGAGGAGAAGGAGGAGGAAGAGGAGGAGGAGGAGGAG